AATCAAAGACTGGCATGTGCCAAAAAATGTCAAGCAATTAAGAGGTTTTTTGGGATTAATAAGTTATTACAAGAAGTTTATACCAGGGTATGGGGGAATTTGTCAACCCTTGTACAATCTTACCAAAAAAGACAATTTTGAATGGAATAGTGCTGTTGCTGAAGTTTTTCAAAAACTTAAGGCTACGATGGCCTCCCCTCAAGTCTTGGCACTCCTTGATTTTTCTAAACCCTTTGAAATTGAATGTGATGCTTCGGGTTATGGTATTGGTGTAATATTGTAGCAAGGAAGGAGGCCCATAACTTTCACTAGTTAGTCATTGGGTCCTCGAAATCAAGCTCTATCCACTTATGAGAAGGAATTGATTGTCATTGTTTATGCAATTAAGAAATGGCAAAGTTACCTCCAAGGTAGACATTTTGTGATTAAAATAGACCATAACAGTCTTAAATACTTCTTGAGCCAAAGGGCTAACACACTTTTCCAACAAAAATAGGTGTCTAAACTCTTAGGTTTTGATTATGAGATCCAATACAAATCAGGGCATGACAATGTTGTAGCAGATGCATTATCTAAAGTCCATGGAACTTCTCAACTTCATGAATATCCTCTTCTTGCTTCTGCTAAATGTGCATCCATTTCATACCCCTATGGTGGATGGTTGGATGATCTCAGGAGGAACAATGAACATGATAGTTGGATTGTAGCAAAGACAAGGAAGGTTTTAGAGAGTCTTGATACTGGCAATAGTAGCTTAACACTTGCTAGATTCTCACTTGAAATTGGATTCTTATGCTACAAGAAACGAATTGTTCTAAGTCCAGATCTGAGTGGAGAAGCAGATTGTTAGACAAGCATCACTCTACTCCTGCTGCGTCATCAAAGAGTGGTGAAAACATATCATAGGTTGAAGAAAAGGTTCTATTGGCATGGGTTGAAGAAGGAGTTAGAAAATTCATAGCTAATTGCCATGTGTGTCAGCAAAATAAGTTCGAAACAACCTCTGCTCCAGGCTTGTTGCACCCACTGCCTATTCCACTTAAGGTGTGGACTTATATCAGTATGGACTTCATAGTTGGGCTGCCTTTGTGTAAAGGTAAATCAGTGATCATGGTTATGGTAGATGGGCTATCTAAGGCCATCTCCAACCGAAGGCTGGCCATAGGGCTCGTTTTAGCCCTGTCACAAAAAACCGTCTCTAACTGAGGGCCCAAGAGCTATAGGGCCAAACATAATTTATTATTTAAATTTAAAAACTACAACAACTTAAATTTAAAAAACTACAACTTATGTTTAAAAACTACAACTTAAATTTAAAAACAACAATTTAAATTTAAATTTTGTACAATAGAAGTTATAGGAAAAAAAAACTATAAAAATAAATAAAAAAATAACGTCTAGCTGTTGCATTTGAAAATTTGGTCTAGCATTCCTGTCGGATATAACCAACAGGAATATATTATATTGATGTTGGTTATATCCGACATGAATGCTCAGATTTCCGGCCCAGCCCAGGGCTGGCAGGCTGGTTGGATTGGGCCAGCCCTTTGGCTCTTTCAGATTTTATGGGGCCCACGAGCTATCTGGCCTAGCCTTCGGTTAGAGACGGGTTTCAGGCTATTTTCGGCCCTCTGAACCCTTTGGTTGGAGATGGCCTAAGTACTCACACTTTATAGCTTTGTCTCATCCTTACACAGCTGCTAGAGTTGCACAGGTTTTCATTGACAATGTGTTTAAATTGCATGGCATGCCTCAATCTATTGTTAGTGATAGGGACCTCATCTTTATTAGTGCATTTTGAAAAAAAGTTCTTTAAATTGTAGAATTCTAAATTATGTATGAGCTATGGTTATCATCCTCAGAGTGATAGGCAAATTAAGGTGATGAATAAGTGTTTAGAAACCTATATGAGATGCTTTGTGGGAGGACATCATAGGTCTTGGGTTAAATGGCTTGCTTGGGCTGAATAGTGATTTAATACTTCATATCACACTTTTTCTAAGTTCAGCCCTTTTGAATTGGTGTACAATTATCCCCCACCACGCATGGTTGCTTATGAAGTGGGCAGTATTACCATAGACTTAGTGGAACAAAGTCTTATAGAGAGAGGCAAGGTGTTAGCTATGTTGAAGTGTAATTTGGAGTTGGCTCAAAATCGAAAGAAAGTTAAAGGTGATAAAAAGTGAAGTGAAAGAAAATTTATAGTGGGAGATTCAGTTTTCTTGAAATCAATTCCATATCAGTTACAATCTTTGGCAACATATAGCTACCACAAACTACAACCAAGGTATTATGGACCCTATGAAGTGATTGAAAGGGTGGGAGAAGTGGCTTATAAGCTCAGGTTTCCTATAGAGAGCAAGATTCATTCGTCTTCTATGTGGTTGCCTCAAGAAGAAGTTGGGAACAGGTACTGAGTTGCATGCTACCTTTCCATAGGTCCTTGATGATGGATTATCCTTGAAAATTCCCAAAGAAATTCTGGCCAGAAGGGTATCTCAGTTGGAGTATAACTATTGGTTCATTAGATGAGACAAAAGGTTGCTGATGCATCTTGGGAGGATTTTGAAGAATTTAAAGCATAATTTTCAGATTTTTCTCTATAAAAACCTTGTGGACAAGGTTCTTGAAGGGGGAAGTATTGTTATGATCCCAATTTTGAGATTGCCTTAATCGCAGGACATTAGACGAAATTGTAATAGGGAGTTAATTGTTAGTAGAATTTGTGGGTATTTTTGTAATAAAGTCTAAATAGGGCTAGTTTAATAGACTTTTGATTTTTTGTGCTATGCTGGCGTTCACCCACTTGGTGAAGGCAACAAAAGTTGTTATATCCTCTTTGAATGAGGCAACGGTCAAGGTTAAGGTTAAACCCATTGTTCACGCACTTTTCAATTGTTCTCTTCTTCTCTCTGCAATTTCACCATTGTTGCAGGTCAAGGTTAAACCCATATTTTGGGATACTGACAATTATTTTAAAAGTTTGATTAAATGTGGGATTTCTCTTTGTTGATTTGAGGGTTTGAGGTTTTTTGCGATTTATTGGTTTGAGGTTTTGAAATTTTTTACGATAATGTGAGTGACGGAGATGAAGATGATGAATTTTTACCAGATTAGGCGAGGAAGGAGAGGGAAAAAAGCAGTGAAAATAACACGCGTCACCAAGATTCCGACTCATCCGTCTCTTTCTTTCTCCATAAGATCTCTTTCTCTCTCACCGAATTGAAATAAAGCACAAAGACACCTTGCGTGCTTCTGTTCAAAGCCTTACTTCTTCCTGTTTAGTGCCCCTACCCCACCCGCTTTCCCTCTACCTCTACAACCCACCTAGACCTGTAAACGGGTCGGGTTTACTGGGTTTGGGTCGGGTTTTACCCGACCCGTTAATCTAACGGGTTATCCAAACTCAACCCGTTAAACTAACGGATCATCTGTTTCCCCTATTAACAAGTTTTTTTACCTTTCTTTTCTTTTCTGTCAAATCAAATCAAATCAAATAATTTCAAGAGAAAACACAACACATAAACACCAAACACAAACAAATGAGCAGTAGTAGTCGCCATGGGAGACGTAATAATGTTGTACATAGCTGTAGGAATGGGTCACATCATCTCCATGATGGAGCTTGGCAAGCTCATCCACCCCTACTGCCCCCACAAGTTCTCCCTCACCATTCTTTACACCTATGACAGCTTCTTCGACACCCCTATGTACAATGTTGTCTGGAACTCCAATCAAACTAGTCCTTCCAGGAACCACAAGGTTCCCATCATTGATCCAAATCTGCGGTGTCACCGTCATGGTTGATGATTGCCTACCCAACTATTGTCTCACAGCATAAAACACCATGGCATTGACATACATACATGATCAAGACAACAAATTAACACATTTCACATTCAATGGGATAAAACAAAACAAAAATTCAAGTTTTATATTTATAATCATCAATCAGATAAAATATTTCAAATTTCATCTTTAGTTCATAAGTCAAAAACACAGTCTTTGGGAACAAAAAAGATACCATCAATGGAAAAAATTAAGAACCCAGGTGAGTTGCATGTTTATTTTTCTGGTAAATGTAAAAATTTAATGCAAAACTGATGCAGAAAACAAAAACCCAGAAGCAAAAAAGGGAAAGAATTGAGAATTTTGAAGCAAACAAAGAGCTCAGGCCCCGCCTACATCTTCCGCATCTTCCACTCCCACGGTGGGAGTCCCATCCTTCCATTTCCTTCCGCCAATTCCCTTGCGTCACAAATAAAATTACCCAAAACATCAGCGGCACCGCAATCATGGTCGACTTCGTTTGCGAGGCCAATGTTCCTCCATAATGGGTGGTTAACGGATTCACCCCAAAATGTTCCGTTATTTAACGGATAATTAACGGGTTGATCCATTAATCACCCAACCCATTTATCACTCACCCGAATAGTAATTTTAACAGATTAAATTGGATCGGATTAACGGATCAGATTGAAAATGCCAAGTTAAACCCACCTACCTACCTCGCTCTCTCTTTCTGATTTCCCCTCACCGAATCTCAGACCCGCCCCTAGATTTCAGCAACAGAACCCCACCCTCTCCCAAACCGAGAATGACACTAATGCCCACCAATCTTTTATTATCGGCTTTTGGATCTCAAATCAAAATAGGCATTACAGTCAGTTTAACACAAATGCTTCACTCTTTAACAGCCCAAATAAGGGACCAAAGAGCAAAATCAAGACCTTCGGCCCAAAAAAAGAAAAAAAGCAATTTCATAAATAAAGTGAAATCCCCTAATTCCAAATTTCACTGTAGCCAAGTTATAGTCACTTTCTCCCCAACTTTAGAATAGACATATTTGCTCGACCAAGTTCGGTTGCAATTTGACACACCTGCAACTATAGAGGAAGAAGGTCGTAGTTAGCATAATAGTTACTAGACTGGGCGCTATGTAGATTTTGTACTTTTATGTCGAATTTTTTCTAGGCTTCCCTGCTAGAATAAAAAGAAAATAAAATAAAATCATATTTTTCATTGCATTAACTAAATGCATTTTGCATAACACAGAGTTATAGTTCATGATCCCAACCACTAATCAAGCAACAAAAATCTCCATCTCGGACTTATTTTCCTGTTCAATGACATCAAGAAAAACCGGATCAACCGTCACGTGACTATCCACATGCACCTTAAACTTGTGATCCCACAGCAAAACCCTCGCCGTGCCGGCGATATCCACAGCGGCGTCGAGCACCATCTCCCGCTTCGCCACGTCGGCAACAAAGCTAGCAGCGTGCTGGGCCAGCTGCAGCCCGTCGAGCCGAGCTGGCAGCCGGAGCAGCTGGCACGATTTGGGGGGCTGAGAGCCCGCCTGAACTTGGGCAGAGCCGAGAAGGGAGCCGTGGTAGAAGATGGACATGGCGGTGGAGGAGTAGTGGACGGGGGTGATGTTGGGGTTGGTGACATGTACGGTGAGGATGAGATCGGCTTCGACGACTGGGAGGTTGAGCTTGAAGGAGGTGAGGTTGATTGAGATGAGGTGGAAGGTTGGGTCTTTGGGCTTTGACGACAAGAGCGCCGTCATGGCTAGAGCCGATGCCGCTCCGATTGCGGCGGAGGTCCAGCTCCATTTGACCTTTTTGCCCATGGAGTGCCGGCCAAATTACCACTCTTTTTTGGGAGTTCGGACAGAGAGCAAGAGTGGGTTGGGATTTTTGAGGGTTTGAATTGGATACTTGGAGTGATAGTCCAATCTGATGTCGTTTTGGATCCAAGACAATGTGGACAGATGGCAGTAGGAGATCGCGTATAGAGTCGGTGTCGCATGAAAAGGTTTCCAAGTTTTCAACCTTTTTATTTGGAAACTATTATTACTACTTTAAAATTTTCATTTTACATTTTTTTATAAGTTTAATTTTTTTTTAATTATAGAAAGTTTGGAGTATAAAATGAAAATTTTAGAATACGAATAACAATTCCCTTTTATTTTGGTCCACTAGGTTTCCAACTTTTGTTATTCCTTATTCATTTCTTGAACGAGAAATTATTTAGCATCTGATTTTGTTCTTAATTCAAAAATAGTGGTACCATATTACGGTTTAATGATATTTCTTTTCAATTTCAAGTGAAAAGTCTTAGGTTCAAGTCTCATCAAAAACAAATTTGAATCATATTACTACAAGCCTAGTGTGAAGTGCTACATCGCTCCCGCTTAGTATAAAAATATCGTTGTCCAAAAAAAAAAAAGAAATTCAAGAATAGTGGTTTATAAGTTGAAATTTGCAGGTTTGAAATTGAGAGATTATATTCACACATCCTAGGTTATTTTCCCAACAGCTTTTTATTTTTTTAATATTTTTTGACACACCACTAATACTTGATAGAAAAATATTAATCTCTCTTAAAATGGTTGTTCAAATTCATCTTCTTCGTCTTAGTCTAGTTTTGAAATAGTAATATTACTCATAGCAACCAATAACTATAGATGAATTTATAAACGAATGTGAATCTGCATGACATGTTTAATTTGTTAGTGATTGTATGTGTATGAGATTATCTAAGGATAGTAAAGTGCAAGCAGTGATTTTCTTTGTTACCCAAGATTAAACACTCTAAGCTAAAATCAAGATGCAAAACTAGAGTATCTAATCAATTTTCCCCAATAATTAACTGCGTGTACCTTATTATTGATTTGCCAGCTAAAATTTTATTTTGGACAATTTTACTCTTGAACTATTATAAAGGGCTAATTTCTTCCTATTCTCAAGTTTTCCCGCATTTCATCCAATCTACCATGAAAAAAAGTTTACATGCATCTCATTAAGAGCATGTTTACTTAGAAAGAATGGATTTGTAAGGAATGGGTGTCGTGTCCATTATTAGGTTTACTAATAACCAAGAAAATGGGAGTGCTTCACATTCATGTTGATGAGTTAATTTTATATTATATATTTTACCCTATTCTTATTATGTTTTGGTAATTATTTTGGCAGAATTTTGATATTTTGATTTATATTTTCAATATAAGATATTCGATTTCCTCTGGAGCACAATATCATCAAACGGACGAATTTTAGAGTGATTCAAATTAGAGGACGTTTGTGTATCTCTTGGCGTGTTTGTATCAAAATTTGGGATTTTTCTACTAAGCGGTTATTTTCTGGCGACGAAATAAAGGAGCAGTGTGCAGTGCTGGAAAATAACGTTTCCGGGCTTAAATTGCGTTTTTGGAGCCCGAGATGACCTCTGATAGGTTCGTGGCCTTCTGGAAAAGTGTTCAGAATATTTCAAACCTTAAATCCAGCTATATTGGGCCGGTTTTGGAGAATTTTAGGGGTCCAAAACGTGGCTGTTCAGATTTTAGGTGAATTTTACCATTTAATTTAGGATTATGTTTCCTATTTTATTTTAGTATTTAGTTTCCTAGTTCGATTGGAAGACCTTTTATTAGGAGGATTTAATTTCTGCTAGGTTAAATAAGTTTGGCTGGCTTTATTCTTATAACTTCTTCTCCGTGCGTTCTTGAAGAGAGGAAATTGGCCAAGCATAGAGGTTTTCAAACTTTTTCTATTCTAGGTGTTGTCGATCTTTTATTATTTCAATAAGGAACTTTATGATTTTTATTATGAATATGCGTAACTAATTCTCTTTTTGCTATGGTGAGGCCACGAGCCTTAGCAAGAATATGTAGTTTCTCTTCAATTTGCTTATAATTAGATGCATGCAGGTTTTCGAATTATTAATCACTGGTTTAAACTATCTAATTGCCTTAATACTTGATAACCATTAGGATTTTTTAGAAAAGTAATTTGATGCAATTTTGGTCGGAGATCGATCCCTGAAATTGACGAAGGCTTCTTGTGATTAATATGTGCAAGTTCACTTAGGATGAATATCGCGTCTTAAGGGTTGCACGGTTTTTCAAAAGGTTTCACAATACTTAATGAGTCATGCATGTTTAGATTTGATCTGAATACCATAGACGGATTGCATGTTTGATATACGCTCTATGTTGGGGGTCCAAGTAGGCATATATTAGGAAAACCTAACCTTTGAAATATGCATGTATAAGTCATAAGTAATTGGGAGAACTATATAGGATTGTTAAGGTGACAGCGGATCCGTAGTGCTTTCTTAATTTGATTTTTCCAAAACTGTTTTCTTTTCCCTTCAGCTTTAATATTGCAGATTGTCTTATTTTTATTAGTCAAATTCGTTTTATTAAATTAGTTCATGAAAATCAATCACCTCAATTTTCTCCTTTACAACAATTAATTGGAATTTGATTTGCTTTGATTTATTTAATAATCCTTATGGAGAGCGACCTTGCAAGATCCATTTATATTACAATAACCTTGTCATTCTTGCAAGTAATATAGGAGTTTTTAACCCTTTTGCGTATGTGGTAAAATCCATATCACATGTGTTTACCAACATGTCAAGGAATGAAAAAGTAAATGTATTTGCTAACATGTCAAGGAATGAAAAAAATAAATGCCTTTAGATATTTCATACCTGAAAAGTCAATGAATGGGATTACCATGGAGGACGAGGAAGAAGAGGTGGAGGATGAGGAGGGATGGAGAGGAGTTGTTTATCCCATACCCATACCCATTCCTTTATATTCTCATTCATTCTTTGTTATTTTTTGTTTATGATTTCTTAATGTTATTGATACTCTACATTTCTTGAAACGTGACAATTTTTAATGAAAATTTAAATAATGTAAGGTATTGGGTCCCAAAAATCTCGCCTACAGGTCCAATCATGTCCCAGAACCCAATCATTGCAAAAGCGTCACAAGCCAAGTTAAATCCATGCAAAGTGCGAAAACGAGGAGTATACGAATTTACGATCATGCCATGCCAATAAAATAATAGTTTATTTGACGTTTGTAAAATCATGCCAAATCGTGCCAAGCCGTATTATAATATTAATGTATTGATATTATAATTCGAGTGGTGCCAAGCATGCAACGCTTAAATGAGCCCAAGCCACGTAACGGGCTTGCCGAGTGGGTCACGGTGTGGATGGTTACAAAGTTTATTGGGCCTATGTGGATTCAGAATTGTGAAAGATTTTGAGCTGCTTGAGAGCACCAAAAGTTAAAACCCATGATTTTGGCTTCATGTGGGAAGGCTTGAGAAAGAACTGCTTTATCCTTACCATTTCCTTTACAAACCAGCTAAGATATTCAGGAACCAACCAAAAACCCAAGGCTGACCAAGCTAAATCAGGTCCCCAAAAACCTAAAGCTGACCAAACTAAAACTGTCACTTTTTGACCTAGAGTTGTGCACCCTTTTATTGTGGAGAAAAGAATCTTTCCTTTCCAAGCTCATACAGGAAAACAAGACGAGAAACCAAGGGGAGGGTTGCCAAAGATGGAATCATGCTATAAGACTTGGTGCAGGAAAGGTGTTGTGGTACTTGATGCAGGAAAGAAGAAACTCCCAGCCTTTTGTAGTGTTACACGAAAAGGGAACTTGGTAGTTGCAGCCACCGAAATAATAAGGGAAGAATTAACATATTTGGAAGAATTAAAGGGACCAATATGTTGGAAAAAGGAGGAAGGAAGCGGGAAAGAAGGCACCAAGCAGAGAAAAAACTATCTCTACATGTTGGAAACCCTAACTCAAGAGTTCCAAACCTTTTCCTTCACTCTGATTCATACCATTAGCTTCCACACCACGCATCATTCGGGCAAGTCATAGTTTATTGTGATTACTTAGTCATTCCCGGTGTTTGTTAGTTTAACAAATACTCCTCAAAGCCGCCAGAATTAGTGAGGGAAAAATTCGTCTATCATGGAAAACACTTTATCAGCGAGGAAAACATGCGACTACCGTGGGAAGCATTCCAATGGAAGAACTTCTTTGGTTGCGGAAAGAACTTCCACAATCACGGGAAGATTATTAGCTACCGCAGAAACACCTCATCAACAGTGGAAGCACCTTATCAGCACCGTAAGCACTCAACATAACACTAGACCAAACACCTAGGAGTTGCTGGAAGAACAATAAAGCATTCCCTAGGACTTGCTTTTCCTTCAAGATGCTTTGGGCCTAGTCCTTGATAACTCATAAATAGGGAACATGAAGGTTTCGGCTTGTCTATGTATAACACAAGCCCATCAACGCCTTCAATACAAAAACCCTCCTACATAAGGTAACATGACCGTAGAGCGAAATTGGCTATTTATAAGAGTTTAGGGAAAATATAGTCAAATTAAAAGTTCAAGGGGGTAAGCAACCAATGAAGTACAAGTTTAGGAAATAAATTTGCGTAATGCTCAAAACAATGCTTTTCTTTTGGGAATTGTTATTAGCACTCCAAAAATCTCATTTGGCACTCCAAACTTTCTATATTAGAAAGAAAAATACACTTGTGATGAGTGTAGAATGAGATTTTTGGAGTGCTAATAACAATTCCCTTTCTTTCTTGTCAAAAAAAATACTCAAACCGTTGAGCATAGACATTTTAGGCAAATTAGCACCTATTGACATATATATATATCCACACGCAAATGGCTCATGGTCATCAAGTGACACCGGATCAAGAGATGAAAATAAATATAAGAAATAAGAAAGTTAGACATGACCCCACTGGTCATGAAGGTCCACACTGTAATTATTTATTAAATCAAGGACCAGCTAAAGCAAGATTTCAATGATACCTAAAAACGCAATCTTTGACCTTCCCATTTTCTAATTCTCATAGGAAACTCTTGGCTGTTCTTTCAGATGTATATTCCAAACTCCATTGTACCCTTACATGACTGCACGTTTAGTCGGCAAGTTACAGCATACATGACTGCATGTTTGGTAGGCAAGAAGATGTGCAAACCATACAACTTGAAACAGTACTAAACTCATGGTATTCCATGCATATATATTGTTCATCAATTAGCATTTCCACAATTCAATTAAGATCAATATGAAAATGTCTAGCACAGCTGCAGTGGCACTAGCAATTGGGCTCGTACTCGTGGCACTCTCAGGCCACTGTTCCGGGGCACTGGAGGTAGGATTTTACAAGGGGAAATGTGGCCGGTCTATAGATGTTGAAGAAATTGTAGCGCGTGTAGTAAAGGAAGAGTTTTTCAAAAATCAGACAATTGTTGCTGCCCTCATTCGCATGCATTTTCACGATTGCTTTGTCAATGTAAGTTTCTTTATTTTTAGTAAGGCAAAGGGTTAGGTTATTTGGATCCCATTTACTGCCCACGTTTCTAATATGAGTAAGATCAGCATAGGCTAATATGCTACTGTGTTTCTTGAAAAGGGATGTGATGCATCCATTCTACTAGATGGAAGCTCCACTGAGAAAACAGCTCCTCCGAACCTAAGTGTACGGGGTTATGATGTCATTGATGCTGCCAAGACCGCCGTGGAAAGCAAATGCCGAGGAGTTGTCTCTTGCGCTGATATCATTGCAATTGCTACCAGAGAAGCTGTATTTTGGGTAAATAAAATCTTTTTCTGTTTAAAATTTGATTCTGATTTTAATTTATTTGGAATCCAAACTAAATTACTTTATTATCGTACCTAAGCTTGATCATTATAAGCTCTTATAACATAGTTAATTGCACCAATAATCATGGATTAATGCTAAATAGCATTTAGATATCATGGTATGTAATTATGTAAATAATGACAACGACAATCATAGCTAGTTCTTCACGATGAAATTCGATCATGTAATTTGACAAGACTTAGTGTGAACTTGTAACTGACAGATGATTAAAGTGAGTGATTGTATATGGTGAAAACTAAGTATACTGGGTGATATATCAATTGTTCGTATCACCACTGTGGTGAAGTCGAAAATAATCACGCCTTAAACTTTGTTAATAGGGCAACCTATTAAAATTACATTAACAACGTGAAATTTTTATTTATGTCTTTCAGGGTGGAGGAGGGCGATACGAAGTACAAACAGGGAGAAGGGATGGCTTCGTGTCTCAAGCATCAGATGTTGACCTCCCAAATCCCTCAATGTCAGTGTCTGATTCCGTTGCAGCATTTGCTAGAAAAGGACTCAATGCAAGTGACATGGTTTATCTTCTGGGTAAAGTTGGTTCTAAAACAATATATATGCTTCAGCTCTCTCATTTCGTGTTCTTCAAATTTTTGAATTTTTTTTGTTAAAATAAAGTCGTGATGTGTTATATGCCTGGCTTGCTGATTTTGTTAAAGTATGCGCGCTGTAATGATGTAGGTGGTCACACTGTTGGGGTGGCACATTGTAACCTCTTCCAAGATCGTCTTTACAATTTCAAAAGCACCGGAAAACCTGACCCCGACATGGAATCTTCATTATTGGAAAGGCTGAGACTTATATGCCCTGAAAACTCAGAAGGCACCAATGTTACTAATCTGGACCAGAACCCTCAAAGTTCATTTATTGTTGATAACTCATTCTACAAGGAGATAGTAGCCCACAGAGGAATTCTTCAAATCGACCAAGAACTAGCTGGGGACCCCATAACTCAGGCTATGGTGAAAACCTTAGCCAGCGATACAAACAGCTTCTCCACGACATTTGGGCAGGCCATGGTTAAGTTGGGAGCAGTTGGAGTCCTTACTACTGAAAAACAAGGAGAGATTAGGAGATCATGCCGGGCAATTAATAACCTTGGCGGTTTTTTGAATTTTAATTGATGAGACAGATTAACTGCTGGGTTGTTTTGTACAATTTAATTTAAATCCCTTTTGCCTTCATGTTTGTTATGGACAATGAAACATATAATTCATTCGACTTTACTTGCCTGTCTCTTTAGTTTCGACATACAAAGCAATAAAATGTACTCGAAGATGATCCCAACGTACGTCTAGGAATATACAACCAATTAGTATAATATCTGATGTTGATGAAGATAAGAAAAGCTGCAAAAGTTAAAAGCAGTTCTTCGGTATGTTATTCACGACAATTATCAAACAAATTAACAACTGTAAAACAACATTAAACGATACAAGGAGGACATTGTAACCTCCATCTATAGTTAACGTTAGATAGGCCATGCTTCAATAATATAATGATGACCCCCTTGCATCTTCTTGGCATTATGTTTGACTCAATCCCAACTGTATAAATAGTTTCCATAATAAGCCCGAAAACCTGATCCAACCACCCGAAACAGGTTAATCGAGTTTTTGGGAAGGAGAACCTGTTACTCCAACCATGGCCTCAAGAACTTAGACCCTCAAATTCTTGTCACTACTAATCTTTTCATTTGCCATTGTTCAAATGACAATGGCTGGAGACCCAGACATTATTTCTGACTTCATAGCGCCCCCAAATGGAACCGTAGACGGAAACTTCTTCACATATATACACTGGCTTTCGTGTTGTCGGAGGAGGCCCTCCCGCAGACTTCAAGATACTAAAGGCAAGCTTGGCTCAGTTCCCTGCTCTCAATGGGCAGAGTGTTTCCTATGCCGTCATTGAATTCCCATCCGGCACTACTAACCCACCACACACTCATCCTCGCTCCGCTGAACTCCTTTTCCTTGCTTACGGTACCCTTGAGGTCGGTTTCGTTGACACCAAACACTTAAAGCGGGTGATTTGTTTGTGTTTCCAAAGGGACTTCTGCACTTCCAGTACAATGCTGATTCACAAAAACCAGCTCTTGCAACTTCTGCCTTTGGAAGTGCATATGCAGGAACTGTATCAATCCCCTCCACCTTGTTCCCAACCGTTATCCACGACAATGTCTTAGCTATCTCCTTCAAGACTGATGTGGCCACCATTCAAAAGCTCAAGGCTAGTCTTGCCACCAGGCCATGAGAAATAGAGGCTCATTTAATTGGAGCAATATATCTTTGTACTCATCTTTATCTGCTGTAAATAATTACCCGTTATAGGTTGAAGGGTATGTCATCATCAAGTTGTAATGACACATTGTTTGTCATAGTTCATTCAGTAATTGTGGTCTGGGAAAAAGATAAACAAAACACGACAAGAACTCAAACTGGATAAGTTTAATTACCAACACATCCTAAAACCCTTCATTGTCTTATTTGCAAAATCTCCACCCTGTCATATGAATATGTGAGAAAGTTATTCATTCATGTGGTATATAAATGTAAGTGTGTGTGTGTGTGTGTGTGTGTGTGTGTGTGTATACACACATATATATACATATATACATACATACATACATACATACACATATCTTAAAGGCTGAAGGTGAGAAAACCTCACTTCTGTTCAATTTTTTTTTTTATTTTCAATTTTGACCCCATGAATTGACAGGAATATTGATGAGTCAAGGTATATAATGATTCTTCGATTAGGTCTTAACTGAAAATCTAAAATTCAATGGATTGGACAATTTGAGACTAGAAACCTTAAGTAAAGCTCCAAATAATGATTTCACACCCCAATATTGAGCAGACGAGAAGTTTTCTCAATGTGTCAAAAGCTACTTACTCTTTTGTAAAAGTGAAAATTGTTGCCTCAGATCCAAGCCATCTTGCAGATGGGAGATATATCAAAAGGGAGAGACACCGGCATCTCAGACAGTATTTTTAGGGCCCTATGCGAAAATTTAAAAGGAGACCCCTCCTTAAGATAATATTTTCAAGAAATAAATTCTTCTAAATAACGTATTCATGCTAGAAGGAAAACTTATGATTAAAACTGAAGCAAATTTTAACAATGATTATCGAATAATAAAAATCATCATCAATTTACAAATATCATTAGATAACTAGCGAAGAAAGCTACAAGTAAAAACCAAGGAAAGTTGGAAGTAAAGATTTCATTATAAGCCTCACTTAACCCATTGTATTATGTTCGTATAAGGATGTTTCAAAACTAACTGTAAGGTGCAAATTAAAACCTATACGGTTATGAGATTGTGACATTTGTTAGTTTGTGATTGGTTGAGTTTGTTGTAAGAATGAAGTTTGTTAAAATGGTATTCTAGCCAATGGACCTTCCAATATACTTGAATACACCCCCTCAGTGACTGTGAAGATATCTATATCATTTGTGCATAAAGAGAGTTGTGGGGTCTCAAATCGATGATCAGCAATGACATGTTGATTTACAACACATCCTAAATTAGCATACGCTATATGATAATATTGGGTCATTATGAGTATCGAAAGCTAAATTATAGTTGTCCAAATTTAATTTGGATAATACTTAGATGCTCACTATTAAGTACAACATATATTCACTTTTTGATTTTGGTTCAATGGTATTTTAACACATATTTTATTGTTTTAAAATATAATAGACTGTTAATTAATTTTTTTAGACTTTATAAACAAAAAATACGTAACATCTTTTAATTAGACTGAATAAAAAATAAATACATAAGGTACCCAAGTATTGTTCTTTTAGATTGAGGCGATCTATTACCCAGAGGGCAGGACTAGTATTCATTACCAAGCCGGTTGGACATGGCTGAGCTCATTAAACTATCCTTTGGGTACTGCATCGTTCATGGACTTAGCAGATTCACTGCTGATCTGTAATGTATATGAACCCCGACATTCAGGATAGAAAGCTTAATTAAGCACGTGCAAAACACTTGATTAATTATAACTAGCATATGTCTACATACTTTGTGTGTATAAACACTTTTTAGTTTTGTGTGATAAAAGACTAAATAATCTTTTTACCCTCTTTTAGTTGACAAAGAGCATTCTATTAATAGTTAGTTTAGATTAACATCGGCAAACTACTTCCTGAACATGTGCAAACCAACCCATTAGGCATGTGCAACTGGTAAGAGATATAGATGTTCTCCTAATACAGGGATTCATTGACAACGCAAATTTCTGATAGGTAAACTACAATTGAGATGTTGAGACAACTTAACGTGCAATGCCTTTCTATATTTTCGGCGCCAACTTCACTTCATTACTAGCAACCTCTATGTGCTAGAATATATGGAACGTTCACTCACAAGATTCAAAAGCATTGGTCGAGTTGTTGGTAAATCATTCTAGCAAAATGAAGAATAGCTGAACTCTTTATAAGCACATAAAATGATTTTTTTTTTTTTTTTTTTTTTTTTTGCCTCCAAGTGAAATTCATACCCTCAACACACTCTTTTGTCATCGGTCAAACAATTCATACGCCTACTGGAATGACCAGATGTTATTGTGATAAGTGGGTGGAGGAAATACTGGGTATGGCATATGTATGCATGCATGGAACTGTCACTTTCACTGTAGAAAAAATTCATGTGAAACAGCAAGTTGCAAGTTGGTAGCCCTAGCTAAGAACTCAATGAGGGACATATATATATATATATATATATATATATATATATGTATGTATGTATGTATGTATGTATGTATGTATGTATGTATACTTGCAAGTTGCATTATTCCAAGAATTAAAATAAGAATAATATCCAGTATGTATGATTCATGGATGGCATACAGGCCTAGAGAAGGACGTTCAAACCTTCCCCAATAAATAATTTGTCAGCCACATCGAAGAAAAGGAGATGGATTGTCTGCCATCCCCATCCCGTACCCTTTTCATACCCTTTTGTTTTGTACGGTCACGATTAAGGCACATCAATATTTGCTTTTTGGCTTATTATTTTTATAAAAAAATTAATATAAAATGTTAACGTGACTTAACCATGATCACACAAAACAGAAGAACATGAGAAGAATATGAGAATAAGAGGGCAGACAATCCATCTCCTGAAGAAAAAGTTGCAGCAATATTTATCAACCCCGAAGTGGTTGTACATTTAATTCTGCTTGCTGTTAAATGCATGGGAAGTCATTCTCACTTTCTAGTCTAGCTGTAAGAAAATGATTATTTTTGTTCATAATTTTCAAGTGATTGTAATACTTATCATCTTAATTATAATCATTGAATGAGTTTAAATTTTGAGATTTATATCTATTAACTACACAAATATTGAAATTCAAATTCATCTAATGATAATAAGTAAGGTGGTGAGTATTAATATCATTTAAAGGTGGTGAGCAAAAATGCCACCCATGAATTTGCAATTTCACTATTTAACCATGTAATATAGTGGCGGATCCAAGATTTTAAAATCGAGTACTCCCAATATAAAGGCTTTAAAAAATGTTAAATATAACATTGAAAAATTAAAGAATAGACTACAACTTTTAATTCATAATTTTTGTGCAAACAATATGACAAGCTACAAAGACTAATTTGTCAACAACGAGATATAATTTTCGCTTGTAATATCGTTCCATACTTTTAATTTCTACACATATTAATTAATCAAAACAAAAAACTATATCAATTGATGAAGCTAAAAAAAAATATATAAATGAACTAGCCAACACATGATCCAAACAATATAAAAAATCATAAAAAAAATTAACAATAACTATATATTATGAGTTTAAAATTCTATGTGATTAATTTAGATTAAAATAAAACTGTCACTTAAATTATAAATGAGGGGATTAAGTGGTGGTGGAGAAGGGACAACAGAATGGTAGGTTGTGTCACTGGTTTGGACCGTGCGATGAACCTGATCGTGGTCGGAGACTGGAGAGGAGACTGGTGCTGTGCTGGAGGTCTTCGGTTGGGTAGGTTGGGGTTTGGGGATTGGGAATGGGAGAGAGAATTGGAATTGGAAAAGTTTTGACTTTTTTAGAAGTTGAATCCTATTGTTTTATTAATAAAAAATGGTGAAAACTTATATCAAAGAACATGGCTTGGGACCATATGTAAAGAAATTCTATTAAGAGCAACTCCAGCGTTGGAGCCCT